GTTGGCTCTGGGGATAGCTGCATCCCTGCACCATCAAGTGTTGGATCAGTGAGGATGGTGGCATCTGCAAGGATGGCTGCTTTCCCATGAGGGTGCCAGGTCAGGGGGCATGGTCATGTCCCCGGATTTAGGGGCCGGGGGGACCTGGCGCCCTGCTCACCGTGGTCTTGTCCGCCAACAGCTTCTCGATCACTTCGATGAGCTGGTCCTTCTGGTCCGAGTCAAGGCTGTGAGGGAAAAGCAGGGCAAGTGGGGCCAGAGCAACCCCCCATCCCTGCCTGTACCTGCCTGCACCGCACGGCTGAGACCCTGCACCCTTGCTGATGCACCCAAAACTCAGCAGCTGAACCCCCATTACCTGTACAGCTTGGGGATGGCATGGGCGGCTGTCTTGCGCACATAGGGAGACATGTCTGAGGCGGCCTCCTTGATGGCCAGCATCATGATGGGCACGATGATGGGCACACGGATGCTGGAGAGGACGCGCAGGGCGCTGGCACGGATCAGCTGGTTGGGATCCTGTGGGGACATGCAGGGGCTGCAGTGCAGCCACGGGAGGCTTGCTGCTCCCCCAGGCTCCCCCTGGGTCCCCAGAGCAGCCCACCTTAAGTCCTCGCTGGAAGGTGGAGATGGAGAGCAAGGCCAGATCCTGCTGCTCCTCTGCATAGCGCACCAGGTAGACATACACCAACTTCTTCACCTGTGAGGTGAAGGTGAAGGTGGTCAAGCCACCTCAGAGCCCTGCAGAACCCAGCCCGTCCCCAAGTCCTGCCTGCAGGTGAGGCACCAGTCCCTGGGGACACCGATGGATGCCACCAGGGCCACTCGAGACCTTCCTCACCTCAATGTTCTTGCAGGCAACGTTTTTCACCACAGCTGGGAAGAGGTCCGAGGCGTTTTTACCCCGGGCGATCATCTAGGGGTTAAAGGAGCAGCATGACTCCGGCTGGCCAACACGGCACAGCACAGCTTGGCACCAGCAGCACCCACCCATCTAACACCCACCGCCACGATCCTCTTCATGGCCTCCAGCTTGAGCGAATCCTTGTTGCTATCAAGCATCTCCTTGAGGTCATCGTGTCTGTGCCACACGGGGCAAAAAAAAAAATCCCATTTTCCTTTTTTAGTCATTTTGAACCATCTTTAGTTTTTTTTTTTTTTTTTGCTGCTCCCAGCCTGCCGCTGCCACCAGGGTGACAACAGAACCCTTCCCCATGCAATATTGATGGGGACAGGAACTGGGTTACAGCCAGGTGAAAGAGGAGATGGAGGGACCAGTGCAGTGCTGGCACCCAGCTCTGTCCCCATCCTGGGCACTGGGACAAGACCCTATCCCAGCCCAGCTGTGGTTGTTACACCAGGATGTCCCCACATCATTTTCCAGGGAGCAGGTGCCCATCAACAGCTCCATCCTGGCCTCACTGAGTGTGTCCCTCGTTCCATCCCTCATGGACATGATGGCATGGATGTGCCAGTGCATCCTGATGCAGAGCCCTTCCCTGGTCCCTTCCCTGGTCTGGGAAACTGCCACCAGTCTTTTCTAAGGCTGGTTGTCACCACTGTCCACTTTCCTAAGGGACATCTGTCCCAGCCAAACCGGGGGGACCTGTGCTGTGTCCACCCTCAGCAGCTGGGGGTGGCACCCATGGGGCGATGCTCATCCAGAGCCACCATCAATGGAGGGTGCAGGGGAGCTCCTTGGAGGGATCTTACCGCAGTGGTGGCCCGGCGCTGGTGGCCACGGCGGGCTTGGGGCCGGCGAGCAGCCGCAGCTCGTCGGCTTGCAGGGCGCTATAGCAGGCGGGTTGTCCGGCCTCGGTGGCCAGCACCGGGCTTGTCACCTCCTCGGCTGTGTCACCACCCGCCGGTGGCTTTGCCGGCCCAGCCGGTAGCTGCCGCAGCAGCTTCTGCACTGGTGGCAGGGACAGCATGGCTTTAGCCAGCAGTGGTGGCCCTGGGGATGGTGGCAGGGCTGTGGCTCTGCTCCTCCTCCTGGCACTGCCACTGAAACCTGACGTGGGGTTGGTGTTGGGTTGCAGACTTGCAACGCCCTTCCTGGTGGACAAGGCCACCCCAGGGTATCACATCCCAAGTGACACCTGTCCTGCAGCAGGGCTCGGGGACACTGCAGGGAGCACCTTCCCCAGGGCCAGGGACCCCTGCACAGGCAGTGGGGTAGCACAATGGGACATCTGGGCTTGTGCCACCTGGGTGACACTTCTCTTGCACCATGCCTAGTTCACGGGGATGGTGGCAGAGGTGGTGTGGCCACAAGGGCATGGGATCTGGTGAAGGGCAGTGATGGGGACACTGCCGGGGGGCCAGGGATGGGTGGACACTGCCAGCATGGGGGACACTGATGGCATGTGACTGGAGGAACCTGGCCAGACTGGGGGACACTGCCAAGGTGGTCAGGGCTGAAGGATGCTGCCATACCAGGGAGTGCCAGTGGGGCAGGGTGGTGGGGACCCTGCTGGACTGCGGGACACTGATGGCAGGTCAGGGCTGGAAGGACACTGCCAGTAGGGGCGAGGGGACACTGCCAGACCTGGGGACAGGGGACCACTGCCAGGCTGGGGGACACTGACAGGGGGCCAGAGATAGGGGGACAATGTCAGTGGCTCATGGAAGAGGTGGGACACTGTGAGACGGGGACACTGCCAGTGGCTCATGGATGTGGGACACTGCCAAATTGGGGAACACTTCCAGCCTGGGGGACTGCCAGCAGGACAGGGATGAGGGGACACAGCCACCTTTGGGGACACTGGCAGTGAGTCAGGACTGGGGTGTCACTGCCACATTGGGGGACACTATCAGGCAGTAATGACTGGGGAGTCACTGCCAGGCTGGGGACAATGCCAGGGGGTCAGAGGTGGGGGATACATCCAGCCAGGGGAAGACTGCTGCATCATTAGGGAGGGGTCCAGGGATGGGGGACACTGCCTAAATGTGGGACACTGCCTAAATGGGGGACACCATCAGTGAGTCAGGGAGGGGTGACACTGCCAGCGGGCCAGGATGGAGGACACTGCCAGGGCAGGGGGGTCAAAGGGACCCCCATGTTCCTGCAGCTCCAGGGACTCCCCCCTCTCCCAGCATCCCTGCCCCCTTTCCCCTAGCAGCCTGCCCCACACAGAGGTGACATTTCCCAGCTCCCCCCCCCCGCTTGGGATCCGGGGGGGGGGGGGGCAGTCACCGAAGAGCCCCCCAAAAGCTGCAGGAGCCAGCAGAGCGCATGGGGGGGACACGGTGCCTGTGTGCCTCCAGCCCAGGGGCGGGGGTGCAGTGTGTGCGGGGGGTCCCTGCGCATCCTCCCCACCACACTGTCTCCAAAACCTCGCCGTTTTCCCCCAGCAGCCTCCCTGGCCTTTGTAACCTGCAGTGGAGGTGGCGTGACCGCGTGCCCTGTCCCCATCCTCATCGTCATCCTCATCCCGTCCCCACCCCGCGGCCCATGGCCACCCCGCAGCCGGGTACCGGGCCCCCGCCGGGGACAGCGGCCAGGCCCCGCGCTGGCAGCCCCCGGCCCGGCTCCGCCGCTGTCCCCAGCTCCCGCCGCGTCCCCACCTCTTGTAGTCGGAGGAGAAGATGCCGCCGCTGGCGGGGTCGTGGCCGTACTCGGGCTCCCCCAGGCTGGAGGCCCCCCCCTTGTCCTCCCCGTAGGCCGGGCTGGCCGCCATGGCGGGGGATGCGGGCGGGATGCGGGTGGGATGCCGGGACTGATGTCAGCGTCATGCGGGGCCGGGACCGCCCAGCGCTGCCCGCGGCCCCCGGCCCCCGGGGATGCTCCGGGGGCCGCGCCCGGCCTCCGTCGGGGGTCCCCAGCCACGCACCCCGCGCAGGGTCGGTGCCAGTGAGCGGTAGCACGGCAGTGATTCAGGGTGTTATTAGCCGTGTTTGGGTTATATGTCATACATCAGAATAGATTGTACAATTATACGTATTCGAATTATGTCAGATTATATTAAATCAGATGATACTGTATCATGTTACATTGCATTATATTATTATTTCATACATAACACGGTATTTCATATGTATATATAGTATACATTATATATTCTGTACTATCGATTATATGCTGCATGATATATACCACATATTGCATTTATATATGACATTACACTATAATATAGTAGAGTATATTAATCAGATGCTATTATATATATTATATATTTTCCAATATTATAGAATCATAGAGTGGTTGGGGTTGGAAAGGGCCTTAAGATTATCCAGTTCCAACCCCCTACCAAGTCAGGGACCTACACAGTCCCTATATGATATAATATATACTAGGTAAGTGTTATACATTAAATATATGTTATATCTGATATATATGTCACATAACATTATATGTTATGCAATGGTATGTATAATATTATTCATTATACATTACAGATTATATATGTTACATGTTATAAGCATTTGTTATAAATAACAAATACATTATACACTATACATGTTATGTTGCATATGTCATTATATAATGTTATCTATAATGATAGATAACATTATATTGCAGATCATATTAATTCCATCATATTCTATATTCTATCATATAGTCTACATTCTATATGATATAATATATGCTATATAGTATATTATACATGATGTATGATGTAAATATTATGTAATACATTAAATTATAGTATTCTTACAATAGTTTACATTCTTCTATTATTATTATTATTAATTACTGTTGTTGTTGTTCTCAGGTGATCATTGCTACTGGCAATGTTTTAGTTCGGCTGTTCCTGGGCAGCGGATCAGCCCCAGTGACTGGCTGCTCCCCAGACAGCTCCCACCCACCACGAGATGAAAACAGGCACATTTCAGGTAGCAAGCTGTAATAAAGCATCTCATCGATGCATGGCAATTAAGCTACACAGGCAGAAATGACCTCCCCTGTCCCACTGCCCTGCCCTTCGTGCCTGGTGTGGATGGGCTCCTGTAGCCCTCCTGGGAATCCTGAAAAGAACACAAACCAAACTGGGTTGGTGCAGGGTCTCCCTGCAACCATTTATTGCTACGTAAGAGGGAGGACAAAGCTGCTGGCACAACACTGGTCCCCCAGGCAGGATGCTCCAGCTCCGCGTGTCCCCGGGCACATCACCACCTCCATCACTGCAGTGCTGGGGATGCCTGGGAGACAAGATGGGCTGTGGTGACACATGGCCGGGGTGGGTGTCAGGGTTCCTGGGGTGGTGGCACCCACCGTGGCGCCAGCGAGCTGGCCCAGCCCCAGCAGGGTGAGGGCGAAGTGGACGCAGTTGCAGGTGACAGCGTCGTACTCCACCGGCTGGTCCATGGCCACCCGGATGCGCTGCTGCAGCGCGGCCATGTCCATCCCTCCCTTCCTCCGCAGCACCTTGGCTGGGCCCCGTGACCGCAGGAGGTGGCTCTTGCTGTGCTTGGCCACGATCCCTGATGGGGACATCCCTGAGCTGCCTGTGGGGTGAAGGTGATGCTGTACCCCATGTCCCTTCCATGGGGACCTCCCCCCAGTATGACCACCTCCTGGGGCTCACCTTCCAGGTGGATGATCTCCCCATCACCGCAGTAGACGCCAGCGTGGGCACCCCACCAGCCAGGGCCCCCCGAGGCCAGTGGGAACAGGAAGAGGTCCCCGGGCTGGGGCTCAGCCACCCCATTGGGGACCACATTGAAGTGCTGGCCCAGCAACCCCTCACAGAGGAAGAACGCCGCTGTGCTCGCTGCCCCAGCTACTGCCTGGAGACCCGGTTGTGTTTCAGGGACACTGGTACCCTGGTGGCACTGGCAGTATCACCAACCCACTGGCTCATCCCCTGTCCCCATGGTGACTTGGGCACAGTTTGGGTCTCAATGGATGGGGAATCCCCCAAGAAGGGACCACCTCCTCTTGGTATTGAGCACCCTTGGGTGCTGTGGAAGAGGGCAGGCATGCAGGATTTGGCCCTGTTGTGCCAGGGGTGAGGCAGTCATTGCGGGACACAGAGGGAATGCCAGCACTTACCTGCCTGGAGCTGCTCACCTGGAAGAACAAACACATGGTGTCAGCCCCAGTGGTGCTGGGAGATGGGACCCAGAGCACCAGTGCCATGGCTCAGCCCCTGCCCAGACCGATGCCACCCCCTGCCCAGTCCCCACACCAGCACCCCAAGCCTGTCGCACCCAGGAGCCCAGCCAGCGCTGGGGTTGGAGGAGCGGCACATCCCAGGCTCGCAGGGTCTGCACCAGGGAGCTCACCTGTGGGGAGAGGGGCAGAGCAAGCCTGGGATCCATCCCACCCCTGCTGGCATCCATCCCTGCTTGCACCTCCCCCTGCTAGCACACATCCCTTCTAGCACCCCCCATTCTAGCACCAATCCCTGCTGGCACGCACCCTGTTAACACCCAGCCCCAGCCCAGAGCAGCCTCCCAGCGCCCATTTGCTGCCCCTTGGACCCTCAGACTCAACATTGGTCATGCCCCCATTGCAGGGTCTCTAGGTGCTGGGTGCCACAGTAGAGGGGTGGCACTGCCTCGGTGCAGGTGCTCTCCTACCGGCTCCCCCTTTACCTGGGCAAGGAGGTTCATCTGCAAGGAGAAAACATGATGTGCAGAAGCTGGGGACATGGGCCCGTGCCCAGCCCCACCTGGGGACCTCTGTGTCCCCAAACAACTGTGGTGCCACATCTCGCTGCTGAAGCCCAAGCAGGCACCATGCCAGCCCTGGCATTCATACCATGCCCTGCTCCCTCACCTTCGGGTGCCTCTGAGCTCCCCTTGCTCCACTGTGGTCCCCAGGCAGCTGCTGCTCCAAAGGTGGACGCAGGGCAGGCTCTCAGCCTGCCCCAGGGAGCACCGCGGTGGCTCTTGGCACCCACCGATGCCTGGGAATGTGCCCAGACCACACGGACCAGCCCCGCTCTGGCACGCAGCCATCCCACAGGGCCAGCCTCAGGGGCCCAACCCAGCCTGGGGTGACATTTCATCAACAAACTTCTTGGTAACCCATGAAACGGTCCCGTGGCCAATATGCTGATAGCCAGTGGCCACCAGGCTGGTGCTAAAATACCACCTGGTGCCAAAAAGCCTCTTGCCCTGAAGGTGGCCGCCAGCCTGTCCCCAGGCCCTGCCCCCAGGGTGGTGCGTGCCTGGGTCAGATCCAGAGTCACATTAAACTTTAATCCTGGTGCCATGGGGTCAGTGGAGGCTTTGGCAGGGCTTGGAGCCGGTGATGTGGGAGCTGTCACCCTCTGTCATCGGCCAACGCCAAAGCATCATTTATCATCCAACAAACAAGAGCTAATTACAGCCGAAATCGGAGCCTGCTTAGGCACAGCTCAGAGCCAGGAGGCCTTGTTAACCCTTCCCAGCCACCTTCAATCCATCTTCAACCCCTCCAGACCTCCATGTTTTCTGCTTGCTCTTATCCCCTTCTGATCCCCACCATACTCACCTGGCCCCTGTTGTCTCATCCTGATGTACCCTCCAGTTCTCATCAGCCCCTTCTGGTCCCTATCGTCCCTCCTGATCTCCACCATCTCCTCCTGGTCCTTACTAGTGGCTCACGATGATCTCCTCATGATCCCTCTAGGTTCCCTTGGCCCCTCTGTGTCACCATTGTCCTCTCCTGGTCCCCATCATCCCCATGCTGTCCTTACTGCCCTGTCTTGGTCTCTGTCATCCATCCTGGTCTCTGCCATCACCTCCTGCTCTCCATCATCCCATTCTGGTCCCTGCCATGACCTGCTGCTCTCCATCATCCATCATTGTTTCTTGGTCACCATGAAAACACCCAGGTTCCCATTGTCTCTTCTTGATCCTCATCACCCCCTCCCAGTCCCCATCCCCTCCTCCTGATCCCCATCACCCACTCCTGATCCTTGTTGACCCCTCCTGGTTTCCTTTATCTCCATTGGTTCCTCCTGGTCTCCGTCATCACCTCCTGGTACCCACCATCTCCCCTTGGTCTCCAATGTCTCCTCCTGATTCCCATCATCTCTTGTTGGCCCCCACTGTCTCCTCCTGGTTCCCACCATCCCTTTCTGATCCTTGTTGTCCCTCCTTGGTGCCCATCATCTTTCCTTGGTCCCGTCAGCCGCTCCTGTTCCCCACCATCCCCATCTTGTCCCTAATGTCCCCTCCTGTTCCCCACACCCTGTGTCACCATTGGACAAGGGTGCTTCCCTGGGACACCCGATGTCCCCAGCCAAGCTGTCCCCTGCCCAGGGCTCATCCGCCAGCTCCCCACCGCCGGTGGGATTAGGGTGGCTGGAGCCCTGGGGCTGCTCCCGACCACAGGTTTCAAGCCCATCACCAGCATCTTTGGGTAATTAGTAAATTAGTAATTAAATGCTCTGTGCCTCGGGGAGAGGGGGGGGCAGAGCCCCAGGTTTTAGGCTGGGTAATCCCATGGCATCTGCCCCAGCGTCTGTCACCGAGCCGAGTCATGGCCCCGCCGCGGGCTTTAACGTTTGCTCCTTCACCCCCACCGGCTGCCCGCAGCCCCTTGCCTGTGGCCTCAGGCCTGCTTGGGGTGCTCCCCAGAAATGGGCCGGGAGGAGCTCCCCTGGGAGCCTGGGTTGGGTGCTCACGGAGTGCTCAGCTCCAGGGTGCTACCCGACAAGGAGCCCACCTTGGGGCCAGCAACCAATGGAGAAATTGGGTGGGAAACCACATTTTGGGAATTATTGGCTTTCCTGGGTGTGCTGATGATTGGCCGGCAGCAGATGGTTGGCCCGGCTAATCCCCATCCCAAATCCCTGCTCCGGAGCTGGCTTTTACCCGACGGCAAGGAGGGGACAGGAAAATTAGCCGACTCAGCATGTATTGCCATCCGCTGGCACCAGGCGCCTGGGTCTCCGCATCACCCATGGGTGGGCTGACAACCCTCGAGCGCTGCAGGGCTGTGTCACCCATGGGTGAAGGTGTGCTGCAGGGGCTGGAGGCACCTAAGCTGCGGGCAGAGGCTGGGCAGGGCGAGGTGACAGCTTGCTCCTGCAGCATTAGCCCAGCGTCATAATTCTGAAGAGGGAGGAGGGCGGCCGCAGATGGTGCTGTCAGAGATCTGGGTCAGGATGGGGTCCACCACGGCATGGGGGCTGCAGGATGGGACGGGGCACCCCAACAGGACAGGGGGTCCCAGGGGTGCAGGGGTGATGCAGGCAGGGGAACATGGGGCAATGGTGCAGGCAGAGGTGATGGAGCAATGGCGCAGGCCAGATGATGGAGTCATGCTGCAGGCAGGGCAACATGGAGCAATGGTGCAGGCAGTGATGATGGAGCAATGGCGCAGGCAGGGGAACATGGAGCAATGCAGGCAGAGGTAATGGAGCAGTGCTGCAGGCAGGATAATGGAGTGATGCTGTGGGCAGTGATGATGGAGCAATGGTGCAGGCAGGGGAGCATGGAGCCATGGTGCAGGCAGGATAACAGAGCAGTGCTGCAGGCAGGGGAACATGAAGCTATGGTGTAGGCAGGATAGCAGAGCAATGCTGCAGGCAGGGGAACCTGAAGCAGTGCTGCAGGCAGGGGAACATGGAGCAATGCTGCAGGCAGTGATGATGGAGCAATGGCGCAGGCAGGGGAACATGGAGCAATGCAGGCAGAGGTAATGGAGCAATGCTGCAGGCAGGATAATGGAGTGATGCTGCGGGCAGTGATGATGGAGCAATGGTGCAGGCAGGGGAACATGATGCAATGGTGTAGGCAGGGTAACAGAGCAGTGCTGCAGGCAGGGGAACATGAAGCAGTGCTGCAGGCAGAGGAATATGAAGCAATGCTGCAGGCATGGGTGATGGAGCGATGGTACCGGCAGGGGTGGTGGAGCCATGCTGCAGGCAGGGGTGGTGGAGGCATATTGTAGGCAGCGGGGATGGAGTCAGGCAGCAGACAGGAACGACAGAGGGGTGACCCACGGCCACCTGATCCACTTGTGTCACTGCTGCCAGCACCCACCCCATGACACCTCCATCGGGGATACAGGCTGAGCCCCCCCCGGAGGACACAGGGGCTGGGGAGCCCCGGCCGCAGGCTGGCCCATCCCTGGGGACCGGCCGGGGCGGGTGAGAGCGGCCGCCGTCCCCTGCGCCGGGCGGGGGGGGTTTAGCAGCTAAAGCCTCAAATCCCAAATTGTGCTGCCCTGTCACGGCGAGGGTTTAGCGGCGGTTGCGTAACCCCGCGGCCACCCGGCCCCCACCCGCTGCCGTGTCAGCAGCCCAGGGGGGGAAACTGAGGCACGGGGCGGGGGGGCCCCCTCGGAGCATCCTGCCTCCCCTCGCTATCAAGGCTGGTAATTAATTACTTGGGGGCAGGGAAATCGCCCCCTTTAATTACCACTTTTCGTTATTCCCCTCTAACCGCCTTAGTGAAGGGCTTATGCGCTTATAGGACCTGGTGGGTCCCAAGGAGGGATACACACACACACACACACACACACAGGGGGTCCCTACCCCAAGCCCCATGTCCCGCACAGCTGCAATCTCAGCCCCGCAGTGCTGGGTGGGGTACAGGCGGTGGCAGGGTGACACGGTGCGGGTGGCAGCGCACGGAGGGGGGGTGGGGGGTGTTGGGTGTCGCGGGTTTAGGGTTACAGGGCTGGGGCTCAGCACCTTGTTAATTCTTCATCGCGTGGCTGATTGATCCCCCCCGCCCCGCGCAGACACTAAAGATTAAAGGGGTGACAAAGAGGCAGCTGCTTACACAGCGCCCGCTCCTAAGCTGCCTTGAAGAGAGCAAGAGCGAGCCCCGCTGCCCGCAGAGCTGCCGGAGCGCCCACCCTCGCCAGAGCCCAGGCACCCGCACCCGCAGGGGCTGGCCGGGAGCGCCGCGGACGGGATGGCTGCATCGCCAGCGGGGTCGGGGGTGAGCGCCGGCCTGGAGGAGAGCCCCACGGGTAAGAGGTGGTGGGACACGGCGGGACCGCGGCGGCGGTGGGGTCCTTGTTGTGGTCGGTGTCCGGGGTCCCTGAGGATCCTCATCGTGGTTCTTCCCTGGTGTCTCCTTGATGGCCCATCTCTAAGACACCGCGGGTCCCACACTGCAGTTTTTCTCCGAGATGCTCAGGGTCCACATCGTGGCCTTCTCCTGGATGCTTTCAGTCCCCATCGTGCTCCTTCTCCGAGATGCCCAGGGTCTCTATCGCAGTCCTTCTCCAGGATGGCTGGGTCTCCCATCACAGTCCATACCCAAGACACCCAGCATGCCCATCATGGCTCTTCCCTGGGATGTTTGGGGCTCCCGTTGTAGTCTTTCTGCAAGATACCCAGGATCCCCATCATGATCTTTCTCCAGAATGGCCCCACTATGGTCCTCCAGGATGGCTGGGGTCCCTGTCATGGTCCTTCTGAAGGATGCTTGGGGGCCTCAGCTATCATCCTTCTCCAAGATGCTGAGGGTCCCTGTTGTGGTCCTTCTCCGGGATGGGATGCCTGCAGTCCCCAGCCCCAACCCTCCTCATTATGCCCATGTTTGTTGTCCTCATTGTGCCTGGGTCCCAGCCATAGTCCTTCTCTAGGACACCTCTGGTTGTGGCCTTTCTCTGGGATTCCCCATCCCAAAGGACGCCGTTTCATCCCTTTTTATTTTAAAAAGGCTTATGAGAGCTCAGCCGGCAGCATCCCGGGTTCTGGGGCGTAGGGAGATGCCAAACCCCATATGCAATCTCTGCAGTCTCTGAGGTGTTCCCATCCATGTCCCTGGGCTGGACCAGCAGAGATGGGAGCCACCCCATCACCAGGATGCTGGGGAGCAGCAGGGAGACAGGAGGGACGAGGGACATTGGGGTGTCCTGAGTCATCCTGAATGCGGTGACTCCTCTCCTGCAGGGCTGAGCCCGGCCCCTGGCAAGGCGCTGAGCCCCGTGCTGCTGTGCAAGGTGTGTGGTGACACCAGC